TAAAATTTTCTTGACTTAAACTTTTATAAAATTAAAGTAAACCTCATAAACCTATCTGCATTGTTATTTCAGTAACAACAAAGTTTCTGTAAGATAACTCAAAATTAAGAAAAGTGAAGCAGTGCAGAGTCCAGAGTTGTTTTTATGTAAGGATAGAATAGAAAAATTTCTTCAGTCTGGAAAGATAACGTCTGACAGGATAGAACTGAGCTCCTTGTGATCATGAAGGTTGTGATCAGGCTGTTACTAGCCTTTATTAGAATTATGAACCCTCTTGAAACTTAAAAGTGATTCAGCTTGGCTAAGGAGAAAGTATGACCAAAATACTTAAATACTTATATATGCATGCACAGTATTATATTTATGTACTTACTGTATTTATATATTATACAAAATACTACTTCTCTAACAGCATGGAAAAGGGCTCTGGCATAGTATTGAAGCATAAATGATTTAAAAATGTGCTTTCAAGTATGATGGATTCATACTAGGTTAGTGAAGAAGAAATAAGGTGTTCAGAACACACTTCTAAGTGTTTAACTTAACATTTAAACATCTAGGAAGACAGCTGTGCCTTCTTAAAACATATTTCTTGGTACCAGGTTGAGAGGTAGAATTCTAAGTTGGATAGACCACAATTCTGACCCATTATGGAAATTCTTATGCTCTTGGGAACTAAACCTCAAATAAATGAATAAAGACTCATGAATGATTTGCTTATATAAATTCATAAGACTGTTTTGTGAATACCTATTTTAATTCAAGGCTTTAATATAACATGTACAGGAGTCCAGCATTTTAGGAAGTACCTTTTAAAAGTTCCTAAGATTTTGGAAGTTAGGTAAATCTCTGCATAAAGAGAAAGAAAAAACTTTCATTCAGCACATATTTGTTGAGCCCCTACTATGTGTCAGATGTTGTAGGTAGTAGAGTAGCAAATCATGCAGTTGTAAAAAAGTACCTGAGAATGATGGGAACTTCAGGATGTCCTTGAATTTCTTTTTTCACTTTTTGTTTCATTCCTTAGAATAAATTTCTAGAAATAGAATTGTTGGATCAAAGGGATACACATTTACAGTGGTGGCATATATTGCCTCAATATTTTGCCTGATGTAACTCTGCTTACCAAGTGGAGAATGTCCATTTCTTCGTGCTCTGACCAAAATCAATATTATTTTCCTTTTTAGTTCTTGCCAATCTGATGGGAAGAAACATGGGATCTTGTTTTAATTTAGCGTTTATTTTTGGAAGATAGTCTTGTTAGCAATATGGAATTAAAAAAAAGAGATTAGTGGCAGAGAGGTCGTTGAAATGGTTCATCTGTGAGATAAAGAAGATACTAGGTACATTAATAGTAATGGAGGCAAAGAGAGGAAGCTGGATTCAGGAAGAGATTAGGAAGTAAAATGGACAAGATTTGGTGACAGACAGACAGACAGAATAGGAATGGTGATATGAGGTAGACAGATAATTCAAGAATGATCCTAAGGTTTCTACCTTGAGAGATTGGGTGGCCATTAACTAAGAAGAGGAGAGAAGTAGATAGGGTGAGAAAGACAATGATTTAGGACTTGTTAAAGGTTTGAGTTGCTTGCTGGTGGATGTTTTTTCTAGGCAGTTGAAAATAGGAATTTGGTGCTTTTGAGAAAGTCTGTGGCTAGAAGAAGAAATTTGGGACAACAGATATAGATAGTATCCTAAATGTAAATGGGTGGTAGTTCCCAGAGAGTGTCAAGTATGGATCTTTTAGATATTTAATAAATAGGCAGAGGAGAAAAGCCATGAAAATCAGAAGGTTTTGGGAAGAGAAAGAGAAAGAGAAGAAAAACCTTGAGAGAGTTGTCAACACTGTCAAGGATAAAGCAGATGTCTAGAAG